TGATAAAAATTTTCAGCAAGTTACGTCCAAGAAAATTTCACAGAAAAACCTAGTTAATTCGCTAGAAAATTCTATCGAACTTTCTATTATTATTAGTTTTTCGCAGATTTTCCTGAAAAATTCCGCAGCTTCTCTGCGCGTGTTTTTTAATAGAACCGTTCAATGGAAAATATTCTATAGGAGAAATCAAATCAAGTCAATTTTTCTATACATTTTATTTGATTAAGATATTTTCTATGGAAATGTCTCAATGGAAAAAGTTGTATAGAAACATGAAATTCAACTGATTTTTCTATAAAATGCATTGAATTTTCAGTAGAAATCCAATCGAAATCCAATAGAATTTTCTATCAAAATTCGCTAGGTTTTTCTATGAAATTTTTTAGTGCGTGGGCTATCGGAAATTTCCCCCAAAAATTTTCAATAATTTCCAATAACTCTCCCATAAATCAAAAAGTCGACAATGAATCAAAGAGAATCCTCCACCAAGTGAACAAGTTCCCATCCCCGACAGTACCATCGATACCGCCCGAGCAAATAAATATACTCGCATTATCGAAGTAACGAAAAAACGAATAGGGGACAGGATATAATTATTTAGTCCTCTGTGNTCGTGTTCGTTGTTGCATAACTAATATCCAAGCAACTTTGTGCGAAACACGCGCGCTTCCGCAGCCCCAGCGTGTCACAGGTGTTCGTGCCACTGAACTACCGAATCATGCGGTTCGCGCACTCATTCGTGGGGAAAAATTGACCGAAGTTGGTGGGTGTAAAGTTTCCACTTTGTGAATTGCATACAATGTCATGAAAGTTTCGAGTGAACACTTTGTATCGGTGACAATCGTCGCGAATAATTCATGTTTTCATTTGGAATTTATGAAGAGGTGGGACAGTCAATTTGTCATGGGTTTTTACTGCGGATGTTTCTTGTTAATTTTAGTGGAGAAATCAAAATACATTTCCACTTCGATCAAAACGTACAATTACGTTTACAGGGATTAATTGATTTCGATATTGAGTTATTCTGACGGTTTACTTTTACGAATCGTTTCTAAACTATTTCAGAACTGATGACTAGTAGGATTTAGTCAAATTTTGATTCAGTACTTGTAGTTGGAAAAATAAACATTGGAATTTTTAAATTCAGTGGAAATTCAATGGAATTAAGCAACAGGAATGAGGATTTCTTCACTCGAATTTTCAATAAAAATATGAGTATTCATGAAAAAATTAGGCGGGTTTTTTAATCAATTTAGAATTTAAGAATATATTCACTTGGATTTTCCAGTTTTCCATTAATTTTCATGAAATAATTGACCTGAAATTCACTGTTTCCATTGATTTTTTCATTAAATGTAAATTTAATGACAAAATTTGTAATGTAATATGTGTTGTAATTTTGTAATATAAATTTTCAATTAAAAAATTCCTTAAAAGTTCATTGGAACAGTCACTTGATAAAAATTTTCAGCAAGTTACGTCCAAGAAAATTTCACAGAAAAACCTAGTTAATTCGCTAGAAAATTCTATCGAACTTTCTATTATTATTAGTTTTTCGCAGATTTTCCTGAAAAATTCCGCAGCTTCTCTGCGCGTGTTTTTTAATAGAACCGTTCAATGGAAAATATTCTATAGGAGAAATCAAATCAAGTCAATTTTTCTATACATTTTATTTGATTAAGATATTTTCTATGGAAATGTCTCAATGGAAAAAGTTGTATAGAAACATGAAATTCAACTGATTTTTCTATAAAATGCATTGAATTTTCAGTAGAAATCCAATCGAAATCCAATAGAATTTTCTATCAAAATTCGCTAGGTTTTTCTATGAAATTTTTTAGTGCGTGGGCTATCGGAAATTTCCCCCAAAAATTTTCAATAATTTCCAATAACTCTCCCATAAATCAAAAAGTCGACAATGAATCAAAGAGAATCCTCCACCAAGTGAACAAGTTCCCATCCCCGACAGTACCATCGATACCGCCCGAGCAAATAAATATACTCGCATTATCGAAGTAACGAAAAAACGAATAGGGGACAGGATATAATTATTTAGTCCTCTGTGGCGTATAATTCGTGGTGTAGACTTTCACGGGTGGCGTGCATCGAGGTGAGGGGGGGGGGGACTATTTCGAGAGACAAGACAGTGCCCTGAAGGGGCGTGTGCTGTGGACAGGGCTAAGTGGGGTGCAACTGACAGCTCCGAGACAATTAGCTTTTTGATACAAATCCAAAACACGGAGGGCTGCCCTTGCCTGATGACTCTCCCTGAAAAAATTGCAGTCATCTGTTGACACGATGGGACAAAATATTTTCAAGAATGATATTTTGCCTGATGTGATTTCAGGGGCTGGGGTTTCGTTGACATGTGTTGAAATCACGTGTATTTCTTGGTGCCATGCCTCGAAAGTTCCTGCTGCCCTCCGGCCAGAGATCCCAGATGGATAATCCTCACCCTCCGCAGTGTAAACAGTAGGGTCTCTCGAGGCGATGAAACTGGGTCAAGGAACAACTTCGAAGGTACCTGGTGGTTGGGACGCTTTCAGTTGAAGTTTGTTCCTTGTATCTGGGTAATGTAATTCCTTTGGAGTCAAATAATGACGCTGGAGGGAGCGTCGAGTGGATTTTTTTCATAATTATTTTCAAGGAGCTGTTGACACAATTTGCAATGAAAAATGAAAAATGTGTCACATGAATTTGATAATTATTTTTGAAACGTTTTATTGAAACCTTTTATTCTTAGAGATTTTGGCTATTTCATTAGGAAATATTTTAATATTAAGGAATTGACAAGTTTTGATGATGAGTTTTTTTTATAAAGAATAATCCATAATTATCAATTAATTGTTCAGTACAGCAATTCAGTACTGAAGTGGTAAAGCGGTTTAAGTAGACTTATCTCTTAGTTGAGGTTTTGAAGAAAATATCCGAATCTAAAGGAGATAACGCAATTTTCGTAAAAAACTTTATTCTAAAGCAAATTGAGTGCTACAAAAAATATCTTGACAAAAATTTAACTATCTCTTTTAGATTCCGAGATATTCACTGAAAAATGGCCAATAGTGAAAATCGACTTAAACCGTTTTACCACTTCGCTACTAAATTATTTTTAGAAATCGTAACAACTTAAGAAAACAAAACTATTTCAATTATTTTTTCACAATGAATTTTGTCGTCGTCAAATGTCGCTACTCTAATAAAAAATCAGGTTTCAAGCAATTTTCACAATTTCTATGATTTATTTACAATAAAGAAATCTTTGGCCGGAGCTCATTATCTCTAAATCTCTCCTAATATTTCTCACAGAATTTGAGCAAAACATTCAATAAATAAAAAATCCTCCCGGATTCCCCAAAAATCACGAAGAAATCAGTTAGAGAAAAATTTCGAAACAAGTCAAGTAATCGTTGAGCAACCTCGATTTCTAGTACTTTTCCACCTTAAATAGTAGAAACAGTGCGAGATACATAGTGAATTTTACTCCGGTGGCCCGGGAAAATTTACTAAACGTCAGAGTGATTTTTCCCCAGGAAAATTTATCCTGTATTCTATCAAAAAATATCCCAGTGAACGCGAATAATTGCTCCAATTTTTCAAGCAGTCACTTTCGTCAGTACAAAATAAACAAACCTCTGCCGCTGTGGGAAATTTTACTGAACGAGATAATAATTTTTGCAGCCACAGATGTATTTTTTACCGAGACAGTCGTAAGATATGCACTAAAAACCAGTATTTTTCACTGAATCACATGTCAATTCACGATTACCCTCGTATAATAAAATTTGTCACGATTTTCGAGGTAATTTTTATCCAACTTTACTCTCCACATGCATTACCCAGTAGTTATCGCCCCCTCCGCGGCCCTAATTATTCCCAGCCGCTTAATACATCCGATAATGGAGCCCACAATTGGATCTCCGAGTGTATTTGACACGTCGTGTGCACTTGGTGCATCGCCTTGTGACAATGCACAAGGCACCCCCAACGTAACTGTGGCACCTTGCGAGGGCTCCTCGCTCCAGATATTCGCTCCGTGGGACCTGAGTCTATCGCCACCTGCTGCAGCCCACGGGTGCATCGATGGAATGCCACCTGGTGCATTGAAACAGGCTCAGAAGCCAATTCCATTCAAAGAAGTGAAAACACCGAACTGGGGATTCAATCTCCACAACAATGAAACTCCAATGAGGTCTTGCTGATGGTGAAGAAAAGATCCTCTTTCTTTGGACGGGTTTTAGGCTTGAATAGGTGGTCCCAGGGTGACAAGTATCTTAAGGTGACTGGGGAAGTGGATTAAGGGGTAAAAGTTTTTCTCTCCGAGGTGAAGGAACAACTTTCCCACGAGACGCAACTATTTTTCAAGGGCTCTGGTGCACACAAAGTGCCTCTGGGAAATACTTAAAGTTTAAGACTTTTCTTGTTAATAAATACTTTATTTTTTAATAAAACGTAATGAGTCCATTCTTCTTGAAGATGAAATTACGTTCGGAATAGACTTAAGTAAATCATCAATATCTTGTGATCTAATGATGCGATTTGAACGAGTCAGGGCTCATCTTAAAGCTTAAACAATTACCTTCAAAATGAAAAAAAAAGTTGTTGAAATTCACTCTGCGGATCTCAAGTTATTGAAAATCATATTCATAGAAGACTTAAGGATTGATTCCTTTCTGTTATTATTCACTGAAATAAAATCTTTGGTTTTCAAGGGCTCTGGTACACACAATGTGCCTCTGGGAGGTAATCAAAGTTTAAGACTTTTCTTATTAATAAATACTTTATTTTTTAATTAATTTTTTTGGTGAAGGTAAAACGTAATGAGTCCATTCTTCTTGAAGATGAAATTACGTTCGTAATAGACTTTCGCAAATCGTCAATATCTCGTGATCTAATGATGCGATTTGAACGAGTGGGGGCTCATTTTAAAGCCTGAAAAATTATCTTCAAAATGAAAGGAAATCTTGTTGAAATTCACCCTGCGGATCTCAAGTTATTGAAAATCATATCCATTGAATGTTTGAAGATTGATTTCTGCTACTCCTCACTGAAATAAAATCATCGTGATTAGGAAGTGAATGATTTGAGGCTTTGATTGACATAGTTACTTGAGGAAAAAAGGAGATTTGGTCTCTGAAATTCAGTGATTTAGCTTCTCTCTTAGATGAAGAGTCAGGGAAAACAACTTCCTTTGTCTGATGAGCTTCTGGAAGGATGCCCTCATAGGCAGTTAGATCACTGGGATTGTTTGATGGGCCGTCGATTCTCAGACTACCCGTACCTTTGCGATCAGACTCAGGGCCAGATAAGCCTGGAGGGGGCGCTGGTCGGTGATTAACAGCAGCTCTATAGCCAAGACCTTTGATACGAAATTAAAACCAACTTTATGAACTTTTCATGCATTCCAGCCACTGATAAAATAAACCAGATGAAAGATCGTCGTAGAACTGAATATTGCACTAATTATCTTGAAAGTATTGAGGACATGTTCCAAATTGTTAATTTCAACAGATATCATGGATCTGTCGTTCTGAAGCTACCAAATATCAACAAAAATGTTACATTTGAGTATTTACCGCCTCCGACTTAAGAGAAAAACTGTAGCGTATCCTTTTCTTCATGGAAACTACAGCTGAAAACAGAAAACTTGAAAATGCTCCTGCAGTGAGACCCTTATATGCGGGTCTACTACCTGAAGACTGTCGTACCAATACGCAAAGGGAAAAGGACACTTCACGTTCAGACGTTCAGCCAATTGAAGTGAATCAACCTCAATTCAACTCAAAGTTATATCAAACATTTATTCCGCGTCATTGTATTCCAAACTATTATTGTTACTAAATCAATTTATCGCGCCAGTTTTGACTGGAAATCCAAACTTAAAATTACAAGGATCCTCGTTCTTTCATCAAAAAATGCCTCAAATTATATTTGAAACAACTGAAGAATAATAACAAAATCAAACTAAATTCAAATAAAACCAATTGAAAATTATAAATCTTGAATTAAGCCGCGCTATTGGGCACAGACATAAGAATAAATCTTTCAATTCCGTTCAAATTAATAATACATAAACAATCATAATTGTTATAAATCTCAAATGAAAATTTTTCTGAAAATTTAGCGAGAAAGTTCTGTATTTTTTCCCTGCGTGTGACAATAAATTAATGCAATTTATTCATTGATAAATCAATTCACTCATTTATTTCTGGATGAATTCATTAATTAATTAAATTTACCTGAATTTCTATTCCTAAAAAATCTGAAAAATCCACCATTATGATTGTTGAGATAATCAACAACAGCACTGGGTTCTCTGGGGCATCTTGGATACTGTCGATAGCAGACATCTGGATTGCCTCTGTTGGTATATCCCATCAAAGCGGATTTGCCAAAGGTCAGGAGTGGCGATGATCCTCCGACGTCGAAAGCCGTCAACAAACTGCAAAACAATCACCGAAATAATGGAATTCCAAAGTCTCGTGGGTGCAATTAATTCAGACTCAACTGACCTGACGAGGGAGTTCATACCGAAGCCCCCGTAACTCTGCTTGTACTCGGAATTACCGGGTACGACACCGGTGGCAACCTCGCAGAGAATTCTGGGAACGCATTTACGATCGTCGTATTGTGATATGGAGGACAGTGCATCGAGCAAGTTGACACCCAAAATTCCGGGACTGTAATTCGAGGTGGGTTCGAGGGGATAGCCCGGTGGCAGTGCTGGTGGGTATCTGTGTGGTGATGGGAGATTATCCGGGTACAGGGACTCTCGGTACTAGATAACATATCGTTTTTAATTGATATGTTAGATCTATGGATTCAAAGATTCATAATTATCTGATTTTTTAATCGAAGGACGTGAGACATTTTAGAATATCTTTGGTTTTTAAATATTTAATTGTTATTTAATGAACAAAATTTAGAAAATGTGAAACAAAAAAAATAACGGTAATTAAATGTAAATAAAATAGTTATGAATTTATTATGTATTAATAATTGATTAAAACGGTATTAATTTTTAATAATCTCACTTGTTCACTATTTTATTGATAATTATTTGTAATGTTCAACTTTGAAAAAACGTGTACTCAATTCATTAGAATTATATTTTACAACATTTTTTATTTTTAAACATTTAACTCTCATTTAATAGAAAAATTGTAAAAATGCGAAATAAAAACAATCATGAGTATTATTTGAACTTCCTAGAATTATTTTTTGTCATGGAATTGATTTCTGAAAACATTTTTAATGTAAATAAATTAATTACGAATTTATGATGTATTAATAATTGATTAAAAAGGTATCAATTTTTAATAATCACACTTGTTCACTATTTTATTCGTAATTATTTCCAATGTTCAACTTTGAAAAAACTTGTACTCAATTCATTAGAATTATATTTTACATCTTATTTTTTTTTAATTTAACTCTCATTTAATGAAAAAATTTTGAAATTGTGAAATAAAAAAAATCATGAGAATTATCTAAACTTTCTGGATTTTTGTTGTCATGAAATCGTTTTCTGAAAACATTTTTAATGAAAATTAATTAATTACGAATTTAATATATATTAATAATTGATTAAAAAGGTATCAATTTCCAATAATCTCAACATTTTCATTATTTTATGCATAATTATCTCTAATATGCAACTACGAATGTAGAGAAAAATTTCAACAACAAAAATTGTTGAAGTACTGCACTACTTCGATTGAAATAATGTGGTAATCAATAAAACGAATGAAATAAAAAACATATTTTTCTATTTATTAAAGAAAGTATTAATGATCGTTGATAACAAGTTCCCCCTTTCAATCGTGAACATAAACCCGTCATGTGGGCGATTTCCATATATCTGGTGGAAAGTGAGACTTACGAAACCATGGCGCCGCAACCCATGTTTCAACAGTTTAAACACTCAAATGAACTCATTCTTTTTATTATTTCATCATTTTTACCAAAGAATTGGGCCTGTAGTCTCGTCGTTCTGGATGGGGAGGATACCGGACGTATCCGTAGGAGTCCGTCCTCCTCGATGCTGGGAGGAACCTATTTCCCTCATCGATTCTCCTGGAGAATCTCTGACCCACCATTTGTGATGCCAAATCGTTCATACAACTTTCGGGAACAAAGGGATGAATCAAAACATTATTTCGTCATTTGCGTCATTTGTCAATGTTTCAGGGACTAGTGGGTTGAGGATAAAATATCAAATGTTTTTTTTTGCGGAGAATTTTAAGATCTGGAAGAGTGCTTTCGACTTCATTCGCTGAAATCGGGGGTTTGCAAAATGTTTTCAGAGTGATATTGATGTATTCCGGAATTAAGTTGTAATTTTTATCCCTAGACCGGTCAACATTCATTATTAAATTTTTTATTAAGTGATAAAGCAAAATTTCTTACAATGTATTTTTTTATACATTAATGGATATTTTGTTTCATAATGGATATTTTGTATAATGTAATAAATTGAAAATTCACAATTTGATGAAAAAACCAACGAAAATTCTGAATTCCAATTTAATTATTCTCTGAAAATTAACAGACATTAGGAAAACTCAGGGGAAAAAATTGGTGAATTCCAAATTAATTGAAGATTCAAGTAAGTTTGGAAACTCTCATCTTCCTAAATAATTCGGAAAATTCGGTCCTCAAAAATTTGGGATTCCGTTGAACGTTCAGTGAAATTTGAATTTTTATAATTAATTCCTGCCGAAATCGAATTGAATACCGCTCCCTTAAAAATTACTGCTAAACGGTCCATGGAATTTCAACTTTTTCCATCAAGTAATTTCGTCATTGAAAATTCACAATTTGATGAAAAAATGAATAGAATCGGTAGATTTAAGTACAACTACTCCACAAAAATCGATAGCAATCCAGAACATTCGGGTGAATATTCATCTCTTGACTAAAAATTCAAGTTAATTGACGAGATGCAGTAGCGAAGTGCTAAAACGGCACAAGTCAATTTTGACCATTGGCCAGTTTTCAATGAATATCTCGGAATCTAATCCAGATAAAAAATTTCTGTTCCGACCTTTTTTACAGCTTTCAATTCGCTCTACAAAAAAAGTTGTTACGAAAATTTCGCTAACTCCCTTGAATTCGGAAATATTCCTCAAAAACCCAACTGCTTGATAAACTGATTCATTTATTCCAAACGAGATTCGTCAACTATTAACGAATGGTAGATTTGAATATGACCAAATGAATATTCGTTAATAGTTAACGAACGGTTCACTTGAAAAGTGAAAATCGAGTCAAACAAGCGTCCTTGAAAATGCATTTGTTAACTATTAACGAACGAACATTTGATGAGACCGAATAGCCCCTTATCTCCAACGGAATGCATTCGTTAACAATAACTAATCCTTTCTATCAGTGCGGGAAAGAAGTCGACTTGAACCGTTTTACCACTTCGCTGCTGAATTGATCCTCAAAACCACTGTTTCGTCACAAATAATACCTCAGCAGGTCCGCGACCCCGTAAACCCCCTCATGCCTCCGAAAATCGCAGTGAGTAATTCCTCGCTGATTCCATTGAACTTGAACGGTACTCGTGACTGCCTCGCTCTTGAGACCCAGTAACAACGGAACAACGAGGACAAGGCTGCTCTTCCCGAGTCTCGTCACTTTCGTTCGAGAGCAGTGGGACACTGAACTCAGTGATGTGGCCATGCTAACGTCCGTCTCCTCACTCCACAATTCCAAACTAAACAGCTCCCACTTTGGCACCTCGAAAATCCCTCACATCACTTCCCTGCGGAAACACTGAACTCCTCATCAACTCCAATCAACTGCTGAAATTGTGCAACAGCAGATGGGAAAGACTCTGGGAATCGACGAGACGTCGTAATGATGCGAGGATAGGTAAATGAATGGTATTTCCCTCTGTACTCTGTGAAAGGTGCTTCGCAACTGATCGTCCGGGAACTTCTTTGACACACTACAGTCACAGTTGGTGAGGCGTGGGTCGGTGAGCCTCAATTCTCGAACTCTCTCCGGCTCTTTCAACCTACATTTTCACCCGGCTTGCCGGGTAAATTCTGTTTTTTTTTTCGCTGATGTCAGAATGTGTTATGAAATGGGGTTTCGACAGGGGTTTAGTGGAGTTTGATTGAGAGTCTTGATTATTCTAACTCCAAATTCATATTAAATATTTAGTTTTCGGTCAAATTGTCGAGGAAACCGGTATTTATTCACAGGACAGAATTTTCTTGAGGCGAATTTCCCAATTTGTCGTCAGAAACTTGAAAGCAATCGACTAGTCTTTTCATTAAGATCTTTCGAGGATACTATTATACTTCGAGGTACTAATACGAGATATTAATCTTTTGAGGATACTATTTTGAAAAGGATTGTCGAGGAATTCATTTCCTCTTCTAGGAATAATTCTCTAGGAATAATTCTCAGAAATTCTTAATAAGTTTGTGCATATTCAGAATGTTTCCAGGAATCGAAGTGTGACAAATTTAATGATTTCAGGGAAAATCCCATGTTGCAGCATGTAATTTCTCCCCGAATGTCACTAGAAACTTTGAAGATTGAAAAGGTCAGAATGTGTTACGAAATATTGTTTTGGGAGGGATTTATTGGAGTTTG